TGCCTGTTCCTTCAGAGTAACTTGAACTTCCTCTTTCATCACCATAGGCTCTTGCTCGTATGTTATTTCATTAAATTCCTCTGTGTCAGCCAATTCCTTCTGATACAGTGACTCTGTGTACTCCTTCCATCTTCTTTTGATACTTCCTGGATCATTTATCATTATACCCAAACTATCCTTAAGTATTATTGCCACCTGTAGCTTGAATTTGTTTTTTCAACTCCTTCAGCTTAAGAAACACTGAACAGGTTCGGCCCTTTTGATTTCCTGACTCCAGCTCTCTGCACATTTCATTATAATATCTGGCTTTATTGTTCTGAGCTGCCTTTTAAAATTTTCTGTTTAGCTCTTTGATTTCTTGATTTCTTCCTTTAGCTTTGGTTTCTCGGTGCTCTAATGAAATACTTAGAGTCTCATCTGACATCCATCTTGGTCTTTTCTTCTTCTTTAAGTTTTGTAATGATCTTTTGCATTCTTCATGGACAATTTTCTTGATATCCTCCCAGAGTTCCTTTGGCCTATGCTCATTGGTGTTCAAGGCCTCAAACCTGTTCCTGAGATGGTTTTGAAACTTGAGTGGGATAGACTTAAGGTCAAATCTTGGTTTCCATGGCTTGATTAATTTTCCTCAACTTCAGCTTGAACTTGTGTATGAGTAGTTGGTGGTCTGTCCCTCAGTGAGCACCTGGCCTGGTTTTTATTGCTGATATTGAGCTTCTCCAGCGAGTCTTTCCACAAATGTAATCAATTTGATTCCTATGCATACCATCAGGTGAGACCCATGTGTATAGCCTGTGTTTATGTTTCTTATGAAAGGTATTTGCAGTGAATAAATCATTGAATGTGCAGAACTCTATCATTCTATCTGCAGCCTCATATCCCCCACTGAGTCCGTGTTTTCCAGCTTCTGATCTTTCTTCCTTGTTCCCAACTTTTGTGTTACAGTCACCCATTATCAATGCATCTTGATTGCTTGTTCAATTAATTTCTCACTGCAAAATTTGGTAGACATCTTCTATTTCCTCCTCTTTGGCTCTAGTTTTTGGTGCATATATTTGAATGATAGTGGTATTCACTGGACTTCCTTGTATACGTATAGATATTATCTTATTGCTCACCACATTGTATTTCAGGATAGATCTAGAAATGACTTTTTAAATTATGAAACCAACCCCATTTTTTCTCACCTTTTCATCCCCAGCATCGTAAATCATGTGATCATCTGATTCAAAATGTCCCATGCCAAGCCATCTCATTTCACCAATACCTAGTATGTCAATATTTATGCGTTCCATTTCTTTCTTAACAATGTCCAATTTTCCTGCATTTAAGCTTCTCACATTCCATGGTCCAATCACTAGTGTCTCCTTACAGCTGTTCCTCTTTCTCTTTTTTTCATTTCTAAGATCTCAGTGTCAATTACCTTGTCTGTTAGCCCAAATGATAATCTAAGTGTGCTCTATTGTACATAGGGTTTCCGCAGGCCTGTAATTTCGGAAGTGGATGGCCAATTCTTCTTCCTAGTCTGTCTCAATTTTTAAATATATATAATAATATCTTACAGACAAGCATTCTACAGAAAAGAGCAGATGAAGGACAATTACCCGATAGAAAAAAGACCAATATTCAATGTTACTACCCACCCTGCTATATGTTTGGTTGTGTTTTGTTTTGTTTTAACCCGCCCTTTCCCGATTCCACTACAATCCCTTCCTACTTTTGCCTCCACCATTCAACACCCGTCTCCCATTAACCAGCCCCTGATGTGATGGTCTATGTCTCAAGCCATCAGGATTTCTTTGATTCTGACTATGTCATGGGGCTGTCAGTGTCTTATGATGCAGCCAGTGTGACTTCAATTTAAAGTTGTTAAGTACAACTGTCATGTACAGCTTCTTTTCCTAGAAGGTTCTGAGAAAAAGTCCTTGCTCTTAAACGTCCACACCAGGATCGACTTCTTGTGGGTTAATACTGCTTGTCTTCCATTTGCAGTCTGGTGCTGATGCAAGAGGATATTCTCAAGTTTTGTCTAAGGTTAGACTTGGTAAAGAAACAGACCATTTATTCCAGGAAAGAATTTAGATAACACAAACTATATGGCACATTTAAAAGATATGGTCAGAAAAAAAATATACAGTGAGTTTGGTGAAACAAAATAATTCTGGTAAGTGATCAAATATTAAACAGATGTTTAAGTTTCAAATATCTAATATGAGCATCATAGATCCTTTGAGATTTTATTCAATTTCATATAAGAGATGATAAAAGTTATATAGGTCAAGATATATAAATATACTGTCTTTTACTCAAGAGGCAATGAGGATAAAGAATTGGGGGGAAAGGTTGCAGAAATTGATGGAATACTAATCGACACATTTCAACAAATAAATGTAGCCTTGAACATGCTATTGTGCCAAGAAATCTGGAGGACAACCACCTGAATGGAAGAGATTCATATTTATTCCCATTCAAAAAAAATGAGAAGAGGCAACAGAATGGGGAAATTATCAAATAATATCACATGCAAGTAAAATCCTACTGAAGAGCATCCAAAATATTACTGCAATATTATATCAACAAAGAACTACCAGAAATATGAGCTGGGTTTAAAGAGGTTGTGGAATTAAGGACAAATCACAAATGTCAGAGGGTTCTTGGCTAAAAGCAGAACGTACCAGAGAAATATTGATCTGTATTTCATTGACTGTGCAAAGGTCTTTGACTGTGTGGATCACAATAAACTGTGGCTAACTTTGAGGAGAATAGGAATCCCAGAAAATCTGATAGTGTTCATGAAAAACCTATAGTTGCACCAAGAAGCAGTCATTTGAACAAGACAAAGTAACACTACCTAGTTCAGGATCAGTAAATGTGTGTGTACAGGATGCATCTTGTTTCCACACCTTTCAATATATGCGTAGCAGAGCATCCAGAAGGATGGACTTTATGAGGAGAAATGTGGCATCAGAATTGAAGGAAGACTCACCAACACCCTGTGTTATGCAGATAGCATAACCTTGCTTGCTGAAATTGAAGAGGGTCTGAAAAGTTTGCTACAGAAGTTGAAATACTGTAGTCTACAGTATTGATTGAAGCTCAATATTAACAAAACAAACATTCTCATCACTGGGCCTATCGGCAGCACCATGCCAGGAAAGAAAAAATGGATGCTGTTAACAATTTCAGCTGGCTCTTGTTGGCATCAGCAGTCAGGAAATCAAAAGACAAATTAAATTAAGAAAATCTTCTCATAGGGACCTCTCCAGAGTGCAAAAGAGCAACAATGTCAGTTGAGAGAGTTATGTGCACCTGATAACAGGCTATGGCCTTATCAGTTACTTGCTATACATTAGAGAGTTGAACGATGACCAAAGATAACAGAAGGTTTTGTCTTTGAGTTTTTGTGCTGGGGAGGAATATTGAAAATAGTTTTGTCCTGGAGAGAGTGAAACCATGCTACTCTTTGGAAACAATGATTTTGGAGCTCCATCTCACATATTTTGTGCATGTTGCCAAGAGGAACTAGTCCTTGGAAAAACACATCATCCTTGGAAGGGTGGAAGGAAAGTGCAAAAGAGGAAGACTCCTGATAAAATTTACTGACACAGTAACTGGGGTAATAAGTATAGATGTGTAGAAGACAGTGAGATTGGCACAGGGTAGAACAGAATTCAGAGCTAGCATGCATAAGGTCGCTATGAAATGGAGTCATATTGACAGCACATAACAAAAACATGTAAATATGTATATGCAGATGTTTGTAAGCATAGTATAGACATGGATATGGATATAGGTATAGACTGTGGCCATAGTTCCATGTTTACTTAAGAAAGATTTAGTTTACACAATCCACATCAGTGCAATTATTAACAGTTCTATATTTATTTTACAATAAATTTTAAATTTTCAGCAAATAAAGATGTAAGTGTGCTGATATAAGCCTCTTACCAATAAGTAGATTCTGCACAGGAAAGAGTAGAAGTGCCCTATAGCATTTTCAAGATTTCAGTATTTGAGGAAGACAGCTGCCATAGCTTTCTTGTGCTGAGCAGATGTGTGAGTTTTAAACGTTGAACTTTCTGTTAGCAGCCAAAAACTTAACCACTAGAATTCCAAGCATCATTACCAAAAATCTCCCTCACTAACTGTCCTAAAATAGATATATCTTGGAAAAAGGGAATCCAGATTGTTCCTTGGAAGCAAAGATGGTAAAGCTTTACTTCACATACGTTGGAAATGTTGCTAGGAGAGGCTATTTCTTGGAGAAGGAAGTGTGGAGGGATGGCAGAAAAGAGGAAGACCCTCAACCAGATGGCTCAACACAATGACTGCAGTAATAGGCACATATGTGTCAGAAAATGTGAGGTTAATATCCGATAGAACAGGGTTCTCATCTGTTGTTCATAGGTTCACTGTGTGTCATATTCTACTTGCTATCACCTAAACATTTCTCTCATGACTGAAATGACCCTGCTTTACAGTCAGTTTTTAGAGGCTGTAAAAGGTACAGGAGGAGACTGCCCATCTTTCTACTCTAGAGCAATTATTGGATTCCAACAGCCTTACTTTGGGTTGGCAGTGCACTTCCTTAAGCCACAGCACCAGAATGCCTTTTTTGATGCACAATATAGATTAATATAAATGTGTGTGTGTGTGTGTGTGTGTGTATACATTTATATACATACATATAGGGAGCACTGGTGGCTTAGTGGTAAGAAGTTGTGCTACAATCGTGAAGGCACACAGTTAAAATCCACCAGGGGCTTTATGGTGAAAAAGGAGAGTCTCCTCCCTTGTGATTAACTGCTTCTGAAAACCCACTGTTGGGTCAGATATGGGTCAGTTCCCACTCCATGGTACACCACCACCACCACCACCACAACATACATACTTGGATATGCTTTAATTACATCAGCAGAAAATGCTTTTTCTCATGAATTCTTCTAAACGTTCCTATAACTCAGTTGAAGTACTATACTAAATGAATAATGTAGTATTTTCTATAAACATGTCTTAAAGCATAAAACCTTTCTCAGTGCTCCTTTTACTTCTGTATTTCTCAGACTATAGATGATGGGGTTTAACATTGGAGTAATAACCCCATACAGCATAGAGATGAGTCTGTCTCTGGCTGGGGAGTGGTGGCTAGAAAAAGGACGAATGTATGTAAATATCGTTGTTCCATAGAACAGAAAAACCACAAGGAGGTGGGAAGCACACGTGGAGAAGGCTTTCCGTTTCCCTTCGGCTGACCGGATCTTCAGGATGGTGGCTATGATATAGATATAAGAGACACCAGTGATCAAGAAAGCACTGATTCCCAAAACACCTCCTACCACTAAAACAAGCATTTCTGCCACATATGTAGAAGAGCAGGAGAGGGCGACCACCGGAGGAATGTCACAATAATACTGGTTAACTCGATTAGATTTACAGAAAGACAGGCGAAATGTGGATACTGTGTGCAGAAGAGAATTCAGAAACCCTGCTACCCAGGTAATGGCTATGAGCTGGACACAGCACCCCTTTGTCATGATGAGGGTATAACGAAGGGGGAAACATATGGCCACATATCTATCATAAGCCATGACAGAGAGAAGGAACACTTCAGTTCCTACTAGGGCCACTAGAAAAAACAGCTGCAAAACACACCCAACAAAAGAAATGCTTTGCTTCTCAGACAAGAGATTCTTGAGCATCTTGGGAACAGTCGTTGATGGGCAGAAAATGTCTAAGAGGGACAGATTTGCCAAAAAGTAATACATGGGTGTGCCAAGTTTTTTCTCAGTTGCGATGGCAAGAAGAATGGCTCCGTTTCCAAGCAAGGTGACCTGGTAGATGACAGCAAAAACCACAAAGAGAGGATAGCGCACCTCGGGGAGGTCAGAGAGCCCTATAAGGATGAACTCTGTGACCGTGGTCAGGTTGTAGACATCCATATCTGCTTTTTCTAATGATCTATAAGGAGAGAATGAAATCAACAGATTCAGATTAGGCTCAAAACCAAATTGTCCAATAATGAGAAGAAACACTTGAAAAGTAATTAATGTGCGACTGATAATGAATTTTGCTTGCCTTCTATTACTTACGGAGCTCTGGTTGCTTAAAGGAAAGGAATTACACTGTCAACCCAAGCTACTTGATTCGAATCCACTATCAGCTCCACAGAAGAAAGAAGGGATATCTCCATTGTGATTTACTGCTTCTGGAAACTTACCAGAAAATCAGCTGTAAGTCAATGTCAACTCAATGTTACAAAACAACAACATAATTTACTTAGAAAATTTAAATCACTACAGTGAAATCATTGTACTTATCATGACTATGTATCCTTAGTTTGTTAACAAGAATCTTTTTGAATTTCACCTTCTTACTGAAATTATTATTGAGACTTAAGCAATATGGATTCATGGTAGGTATAGAGTCAGTTCTGACTCATAGCAATCCCATGAATAACAACAGATCTGAAACTTGCCCTATCCTAGTCAAAGAAAATTAATTGCTAAGATGCCACCCTGTTCAGACACTTATTTGGGGGAGCTCTGGTCCTGTGATCCATAACAAGTTGCTGTGATGTAACCCAGAAGACATTATTTTCTGCCTCTTGAAATGAATCGGTGTCTCTGTTAGAGAAAAACAGGAAAACAGGGAGTATCCTCCAGTGGAGGGTCTCTATGAGTTAGAATGTCTAGAAGGAACTGAGTTGGAGGTTAGATAATTATTTTATGCTTACTTACACTGTCTCAAGGTGTATTAACTTTGCATATCATCTCAATAATAAATATCGCAAAGGTAGAACTCATGTGTTATTCCATGATACAGATTACTTAGAAAACACAAATATAGACACATACATGTTGAGTTTAGCAAAGATTGACTTGTGTGTTTTCTCTAGAAATATTTCTCTATAACTTCAGACCATACTCATAGAAATATGGAAATTTCTTTATTTCTCAAAGTGTTAAATATATACTTAGTACTGTAAAATATGTATTTTCAGCTACAACACACAGAAGAAGGTTACATAATTATGTTTTCACGTGACTCAACCAAGAAATAGGTATACTCAGCTTTCCTTTCTCTGAAAATTTTGATTTTTATACGCACGTATATCTGAGGAAATAAAATCTTTCTAAAATTATATATTTCTAAATTATATGGAACATATATAACTCATATTGATTTTTGTTAATTTTATAATCATATTTTAATGCTTCTTGATAGTCTTGATCCTCAAAATGTTCAAGAAAAATATAGTCTACAAATCAAGGACTATAATCTTCAATATGGATTGAAGCTCAACATCAAGAAAAAAGATTGTCACCACTGGGCCAGTTGGCAACACCATGATAAATAGAGAAAAGATTGAGATTTTTAACAATTACAACTTGTTTGCTTCCACAATCAACACTCTTAACACCAGCAGTCAGAAAATCAAAAGATGAATTGCATTGAGAAAATCTGTTGTCAGAAACCTCTCCAGAGTACTGAAAAGCCATAATATCTGTCTAGACACTAAGATGTGACTAATCCAGGCCAAGGTCTTCCCAATTACTTGTTGGGATAACTCAGACAGCTGGATAATGACCAAGGCTGACAGAAGAAAAATCAATGTCTTTGAATTGTGGTGCTGGAGAAGAGTCTTGAACATACCATGGACTGCCAAGAAAAAAAAATAGGTCTGCTTTGGAAAGGGTGAAATCAAGTTTCTCCTTGCAGGCTAGGATTTTGAAGCTATGTATCGTAATTATACTTTGGAAACATGGCCAGGAGAGATCAGTCGTTAAAGAATAACATCATGGTCAGAAGGGTGAAGGGAGAGCACAGGAGAGGAAGACCCCTGATGAGATGGATTGATACAGTATAATTGGGACAATGGGGATTGGTGTGTCAGAATTAATGAGATTGACTCAGGACAGGGCAGGGTTCAGAGCTTCTGTATGTAGGGTCATTATGGGTCACAGGTGACTTGCTAGCACATAACGACAAGAGTCTGCAAGTTATTATTTCCGTGCATTTTTACATTAAAACAAATTACCTTTCTAATATTATAACAGCATGACAAAAATTCAAAGATAATATACAGGTAGAAATTTTGACTCATTTTTTAGTTCCATGAGACTTTTAAAATTTTTTCTCTTAGAAATTGACAAGAATTTATTAACTAACGGGGGGGGGAGGAAACATTTGCAGTCTAAATAATGCAAAGAGCATATAGTTACTAATGACACAAATGAAAATATAAAATTGTTTGACTTTTTAAATTCTTTCCTGCACCTTTAATTTCTTTGAAATTGCTTGAATTTTTGCTAGGTGCTGTCCAATTTCTATCTTACTCTGAGTGACCCTATGTATAAACTAATGAAACATTTTTAGGTGCTGAACTTTATTCAAAATAGTTAAATTTGTGTTTATAGTTTTCCTTGTGCCAATTCATCTCATTTGGAGTCTGCCTTTTTCCTTTTGCTGACTCTGTATAAAGATTTATGTTTAAGCATTTGTAGCTGTTCTTCTAATGCAAATTTGGTTGTTCTTCTGACAACACATATCATATTTCATACTCTCCCCCCAAATCTCTAGTTCAAAGGCATCGGTTTTTAATTTTTCTTTCTTATTCATTGTTCAGCTTCCATGTGTATATGAGGTAATTGAAATTATCATAATTTGGATGAGTTTGACCTTCATCTTGAAAGTGTTAAACTTACTTGTTTTGAATGTTAAACACATCCTCGGCAGCAAATTTGACCAAAGCAGTATGTTGTCTCACATTGTGATTGTTGCTTAGACTGGCATTAATTGTAGATTCAAGTAAAAGAAAATCCTTGACAATTTACTATTTTCTGTATTTGTCATAATTTCACACATTGGTACAGTTAAAAACAATTATTTTAATGCTAATATGTAATCCCCAGTAAAGGCTGTAGTCATAGTTTTCGTTGTTGTTGAGTCAATTATTACTCATAGTAACCCTAAAATCTGAAAGTTGCCTTGTCCTGTGCTATCCTCACAGTCTCTTATGTGTTTGAGCACACTGTAACAGTCACTCTATACTACTGAGGGCCCGCAAGTAATCCAGGTTTCGAGGGTCAGTACTTTTATTTATCATTTTCAGTTCATAGTGTTCAGTCACCTAAAATGACGTGTCTCAGATTGTTAGAGGACAAAAACAAAATCCTAAAGATTCTCTTCAGATTATGATATTTAGAGGAAAATTAATCCCCCCTGAATTTCATAATATTACTCAACCAACTGAAGCAGAATTGGATGAGCAAGTGAAACAAACAAAAATACATGCTGTGTCTTTTATCAAATGTGCAAGATAAAGAGAGTAGTTAAAGTTGTTCCTTTTTTTTTACCTACTTACCAATTGAATTCCTTTTTGTTAGCAAAAGATTATAAGGGGAAAAATGTCAATAACAACATTATAAGAAACCCAAACTTGCTGTACATCAATCTACATGATCAACATGATTATACAAGTAATAAGAATTCATATTCTCTAGGTTGTTTTTTTTTCAATTTGGTCATTGGATGCTAGGATTTTGAAGCTCCATTTCACATACTTTGGGCATGTTGCCAGGAGAGACTCCAGAAGATATGGATTGATATAGTAACTGGAGCAATGGGAGTTGGTATGCTAGAATTAATGAGATTGGTTCAGGACCGGTAAGGGTTGCAGGAGACTCGGCATGTAACAACAACAACAACTATAATTTATATTGTAAGTGTGTTTTTATACTGTGGCATATAAAATGTGGAAATTTTTCATATAGACAGGAAATATGGTTATATTAACTACTCCTTCTTTTTGAAGCATATAGAATTACACCTTATTTACCTGTCCACGTAATAAAACATATGAACCATGCTTTCATAAGTGATATGTAAGTGAAAGCATTAACTTTTACTATTTTTGCTATAATTTATTTAGTAGATACCATAAAAGGTTCATAAATATTTTAAGATCATTTGGTATAAATTCAATAAAAATAAATTTCCTGCATAATATATTTCATCTGTATCTTAAGGTCCCTTGATATAAAATTAATATTATAAGGAAGTTGAGAATGTATGCTGAAGCCAACTTTTAATATAGGCAAAGATATAAAGAAGAATTAGAGAAAAGGATCTTTTAAAACTAGATGATTAATGTGATTGCTGTTTTATTGTTAATTTCTGCTTTCCCTTTCATATATTGTCAAAAGCAAACATACCACGTATAAGGCTTTTCTTTATGGAAATCAAGTACTTCAACTTTTATCTACATAAAATAGAAGAAAAAGAGATAATTTAGTAAAACATCACTAATAGATATTAAATGACAAGATAATACAAAACTAGTTATTTATTATGTTACTATCAAGAAAACTATACATGCAAATTTACATGATATTTCTTGAATAATAAAATAATATTTCTTGAATTTTCTCAAGACATACGCCAAGGAATAGGTAATATAAAATTTTTATGAACCCAGTGTATTGATAATTAATAAAATCGAGAGGAAAAATATTACAGACTGAAATCTCTCCAACTATTTCATGTTCCTCAATGCTTATTAGAAACAATTTTCTAGAGAACATAAGCCAAAGTTCATGAGTCAGAAATGTTTCTATCTAGACACGGGGGGAAAAAGATCTATAGAAAAGACTTGCGGTCACAACTAGCTAAATGTATCAGTTAATTATCACACATTTATTCAACCACTTGACACATTTAAAAATAATTATATCATTCCCATTTAGTAGTAAACACTAACAACCAATTTAAAGAAGTAAAATATTATAGCATAAAAATCATCTTTATGAATATCAATTTTTTTCACCTTAGCTTAGAATGGCCAGTATTTTAACATACAGTGTTCTTTTATTTCTGTTTCAATTTTCATTATCAGTATGGAATTTCCACAAGAAAGTGAAATGACCTAACCAACAAACTA